GTCTCAAGCTATCCTCCTGCCTTGGCCTCCTTGCTCTTCTTTTCAACAAAATTTGTTTCGTTAGGTTTTGGGAGCATAGTCGTAGCTAACATTGGTTGAGCACTTGCTGTGTACCAAGTCGTGTTTTAAGTCTTTCATAAGTGTCAGCTCAGTTAATTATAACAATAAATCTATGAGGTTGCTATTATTAGTATGTCCATTTTGAGGCCAAGGAAATAGGCCTGGTGAGGTTAGGCGATAACCTGCCCAAGGTCACACAGGTAATGAGAAGTAGAAGCTGGGTTTGCACCAGACAGAGCAGCTCCAGGGAGTGAGCACTGATCACACTATCTTGGTATAGAGAGACACACATGTCCTCACTCTCATTTTGATTGCTGCAGCTTTTAGTATGTTTTACACATACAACCTTGTTTAGTTTTAGTTTTTCTCATCTCCAGATTTGAAGATTTACCTTTTTTTTCTTTTAACCATGTCTTTCAATCTATATCCTGAATGTACTTTGTAAATTTCAGTTAAGCATAAGACATTTTCTGCAACTTCTAAAGTCAAAGTGTTCTTTATTCATGGGAGAGGCTATGATACATGTTTAGAAATGATTTAGGAATACGGGTTCTTTATGGGATGCTGAGTTGCAGACACTTGAGCATGTCAGAAGAGCAGTGTTAGTAAGTGTTTTACCTTTGTAATAGGTGTAAATGAAATAAATAGTGCTCCTAAAAAAAAGGTCATAGATAAAAGTTAAAATGTTACATCTTTCAGAGAAACACTTTCTATGTTTCTCTTGTGGATGAAGGTACCTTGAATTCCTAATCTAATTCTGATTAAAGGTTTAATTCAATCCCCTAAACTTGGGCCTCCAGGACTCCAGTGTCTTATTGAAAATTGGTTCACACCTCTAATCCTAGCACTTTGGGAGGCTAAAGTGGGAGGATCACATGAGGTCAGGAGTTGGAGACTCCCCTGAGCAACGAAGCGAGGCCGTCTCTAGAAAAATTTAAAAGTTAGCTGAAGGTAGTGGCATGCATCTGTCATCCCAGCTACTGAGTCTGGGGGGATGGGGGGCATTGCTAGAGCCCAGGAGTCTGAGGTTGCAGTGAGCTATAACAACACCACTGTATATAACACTCTCTCTCTCTCTTTCTCTCTCTCATATATATACACACACACACATAAAGGAACTTGTCTTGGGCCAACATAATAGCTTTTATATTTTGATGAATGAATAATTTATTAAGCGAAAAGCATTAACTACAAGTAAGATAATTTAAAGAAGTACAAAACTACTGTTGTTTCATCTGAATTCAACCAAATAGTAAAGCTGTTTTGCACATAAAAGCATGTGGGAGCTTTAATAAGTGTAATTTAATGTGTAATCATAGAAAGGAAGGACATAGCCGAGCATTTCTAATCATCTGAGCAGAAGCTGTTCAGGTCTCCCCCATGACAGGAAAGAAGCAGAACCTACGGCGGGCATATAAAGGAATGAAACTAGATTGTTCTGTTCCAGTCTGTGCTTCTGGTGTCATCAGACTGATCGTACAAATATATATAACACCTATTAAAGATAAAAATGA